CTAAACAAGTCTTGGCACTAACTCTGTTGATTCTCGTAGGTGTTTTTAAATGTGTGTGCTGTTTTTATTTTGTGTGTGTTTCGTTCTGTTTTGTGTTCTCTCTATTTATCTGGAAGCCAACTTTCCCCACTTCGCTTTTTTACTAGATTTTACTCATTCTTGACTATCGTCTTTTTTTTTTTAGACAACACGTTGTATCTTCTGCGTATGTGATATTGTTAAGATGCATTGTACAGCTATTCCCAGCGAAACAAATGATTAAATACGGCTAATTATTCTATATAAATGGATCACCATCATTAACATTGTTCTCTTTATTGAAGATTGGACTTGTAACTTCCCAACGAAGTCCGCACCCAACCCCTCCCCACCCGCTCTACAGATACTGTTACTGTTACTGCTGCTAATGATACTTTTACCATTCCTCTTACTATCATAACTGTTATTATAAGTGCTGCTGTTGGTACTACTACTATTAGCACTGCAGAAGAAGTAGAAACAGCATAAACAACAACTACAACAACGACTACTACTACTACTGCTGCTGCTACTACTACTATAACAACAACAACAACAACAACAACAACAACAACTACTACTACTACTACTACTACTACTACTACTACTACTACTACTACTACTACTACTACTACTACTACTACTACTACTACTACTACTACTACTACTACTACTACTACTAATGCAATAACAACAACTGCTACTACTATTGCAATAGCAACAACATTAACAACAACTTCTACTGCTACCTTTAAGCGTATTAAAATCAGTAATAACAACTTTACCTACTGCAGTGACAATAACGTCAGCAACAACAACTAGTACCACCACTATTAGAGCAAGAACAAAAACTACTAGTATAGCTTACAAACACTACCACAAACCCCACCACCAACACCATCACTACATTGACTACAAAGACTACTACTACTCTAACACATATTTTAAGAAATTCATATTCTGGTTTATCGCCTGGAAGCGCTCTGACTGACACTACAATGCTGAAGTTTAATACCGTTGTAATGTTATATTGCATCTTGATGCTGAATATTGTTTCTTTTCAGATCTCAATCTGAAAACGTTTACAATATGTTTCTCACCTTATACCTGTCGTCTCGCTTCGATACTATGTGCCTAGTTGACCATGTTCTTAGTGCACTTGTATTCATGGCGAGGCGCACACGCCGTCTGGAGGTCACAGGTTCAATTCCCGGCACGGTAACTATAGATTTAGATTTTTATGTTCTCTAGTGTGTTCTTCTATCTTTCTGCTTCTTTCTATGAGTGCCGATCAATACACTTTCTGTTACTTGATTAATTCGCTACGATACGCAATTTTTCATTTTTTTAACGCCCCACCCGGTTGTAGTCTGGCACCCTAATATAACCTAACGGTTGAACGGGGTCTCTGGGACCTCTCCCCGTGTGAATCTCATGCTTATGGTGGTACTTTGTGTCACCGGGTGTTTATCGATCGGTGGATGTCCTGGTGGAGTTCAATCTCATTAACCAATGTTCCTCACTCACACAAAGCCAATTCATAATTATGGAGGAAATAACAATAGGGCATTACCAAGACAAATTAACATATTATGGACTGAGCATAGCAAGTTGTTATTCTACGTCTTAGAACAGGACACAATCGACTTCGCAGCCACATGTACACAAACTTTAAAATCGGCGAATCAGCCATGTGTACGTGTGGATTGGCACCTGGGACAACAAATCACGTCCACCAAGACTGTCCCAAATACAACATATCAAGGCAAACATGTTGGCCAAGAGAAACATCGGTGGAAGCCAAACTTCACGGGTCGTTGAGTAAATTACAAAAGACAGTTAAGTTCATACTAGAGGCATCTCCGTGTTGGTTTCGAGGCCTTGTTATAGGGAAAACAAGAATAGACCCACTGCCTACCCAAAAGCATGACGTAATAGTCGACTAATTAGAAGCTTCCTTCGAAGTCGGAGTGCATCTGCCTGAGAGACAAGGAACCAGCAGTCTGCATTTGAATGGGTCAGATCTGTAAAACGGATGCAAACGCAACACTCAGGTTCTGGAATAGGACTGCAGTTCAAAAGTGGATGAATAACCATAACTTTCCGCAAGGGTTTACAGCTGGTGAACGCGAAGAAGAAGAAGAAAAATACTAGAGACAACTTGCTAAATACTAATCTTGGCTCACAGTATGTGGTAATGCTGACAGATGCAAAATCCGTACTTGAAGTACTCCAGTATAGGAAATTACCAAAATTGCAAACACTGCTGACACAACTCAGCCTTCAGCGAAGAGTGGTAATGCAGTGGATACCGTCCCATTGTGTAGTGCCTGGAGTGCCTTCTACATTTCTACTTCTTTCTATGAGTGCCGATCAATACACTTTCTGTTACTTTATTAATTCTGGAAATGAGAAAGCTGATCAACTGACAGGGGAAGGTGCGAAAAAAGTTCAGCCGGATGTACCAGTCACATACCACCAAAAGAAAAGAATCATTAAATCGATCAGGAAACCACCAGCCCCAGCACAAGACGACTATTTTATTATGGGTAGATCACAACAAGTCATTATCCTCCGCCTCAGAACAGGGCACAGCAGATTACGTAACCACATGTACACAAAATTCAAGATGGGCATATCAGCCATGTGCACCTGTGGAAAGGTGCCCCAGACAGCAGAGCGTGTACTACGAATTTGACACATTAAGGTATACCTTTTGGCTGGAAAGAACAACAGTGAAACGTAAACTCTATGGACCACTGAATTAACAACGTCAGTGAAATTTATACAAGAGACCAAATTGCTGATATAGACAACTTATTTCAACGAAAGAAGAAGATTAGAGACAACATCGCAGATATAGGTTTTCTATTTCAAGCGAACGAAAGGAGAACAACAACAATAAGAAACCTTTACAGCAATAGGTAGGTAGCTAAGTTGTACCCCACACGGACATCACACTAGCGATAAACACCAGGTGACACAAAGTACCGCATGTGCATGAGGATCGATCAAGGAGAGGTCCCAGAAACCCAGATCAACTGTTAGGTTGTATTACGGTCCCCGACTTCAGCCGGGTGGAGCGTTAAAATAACGAAAAATTGCATCCAACAAAGGGGATGATAATGGCTTGGCCACGTTATGAGAATGAATCCTGATATACCTGCCAAAACAGCTCTCACATGGACACCAGAGGGAAAGAGAAAACAGGGGCGCCCAAAAACAACAAGGAGACGAACGATGGAAAGTGACCTGAGTGTGGCATCTTTGAAATGGAAAACTGCATTGAAGATTGTACAGGACAGAAAAGCATGGAAAGTCCTCTCTGAAGGCTCGTGTGCCACTAGGCGTAACGAGAACTGACTGACTGACAAGGGGATGACGATTCTGTCTACAACAATACGTGTTTACTTTACAAATCGCAGTGACAACTTAATGTATTCCACAGTACACATTACAGTATCATCGGGGAGATGACTCTATCATCAAAGCAAAAAAGCACAAATAAGGGACGAAAGTCGTACAACTTCAGTAACTGCCATAAGTCCACTATAGATCATATACAAGTTGCACAACAATACAAACAGAAGAAACTACTAAATATTATGCAAATTAAAGTAAAAGAGACAGGAAGTCACGTTACAGGTAACTAAAATACTAGAAGTTTACTGTACTCATCAAACATTCTGAGGTACAAAGGACTTGGCAAAACATATCAACAATCAGTTAACTCATTACAAACAATAATACTGTCTAAAGTTTACAAATAAACTGAGGGGTGTTTCTGAAGACGTAAGCATCACACATTAAATCAGAAACATGGAGAATAAAGAAACCAGTTACTAAGAAACTGTTAATTCAATTTATGTGTGAGCAAAATAGAAGGATTACAGTGATGTGAAGGTCACGTATGCGGAGTTCAGGGGAAAAAAGGAAAGGCGTAGACAAATTCAAAGTAATGACGTAAACAGAGTGTGAGTGCAGTCGAGCTGATTTCAAGAAATGCTAAATATAACTCAACAAATGACTAGAAAGTTCAAAGAAGGGGGGGGGGGGGGGGGGGGTTGGAAAAGACGCACACAAACGAAACCGAACGTTTCGACCAAAGTATTTATTAGTGGAGTACTATATACAGCAGCAACTGTTTTTTTTAAAGCTGTGCTGTATTGCTCGTTGAGTGTTCTAGTCACCGTTTGTGCTGTATTTCGTACTTCGTTGATAAAGACGTTTGGCCAAAACGTTCGGTTGTGTTTGTGTGCGTCTTTTCCATTTCTTTCAGTGAGCTTTATAGTCACATTCTGTGTTATATTTAGCATTAGACGAATTCAGGTTTATCGCGTGGGTGTAGAAAACACGCCGGAAGCTGATTAAGGGTACATACTAAGAGAAGATCTGATGATGTCGTAGGGAGAATGTCTTTCCCCTCGAATAATTAAAACAATAGGGATACAGATAAAACCATGCTGTAAAGTGAATTAAACAAAAATAATAAACATTAGGAAGACCTTTACAGGAGCTGCAGGAGGGGGCAAAAGATGAGAGGGTTTGACGTAGGTGTGCATAAAGTTATATGCTACGAGAGAGATATAAAAGGTAGAAGGAAAAAAAAAGAAGAAGAAGAAGAAAAAGAGGAATAATAATAGTTGGAATAAGAAGAAAAAGAAGAAGAAGAAGAAGAAGAAGAAGAAGAAGAAGAAGAAGAAGAAGAAGAAGAAGAAGAAGAAGAAGAAGAAGAAGAAGAAGAAGAAGAAGAGGAAGATGAGGAAGAAGAAGAAGAAGAAAAAGAAGAAGAAGAAAAAGAAGAAGAAGAAGAAGAAGAGGAAGAAGAAGAAGACAGAAAGAAAGACAATTAGGCGGAGGAAGAGAAGGAAAGAAAATGAAAGAGGAAGTGAAGAATAATGAAGAATACAAAGAATTAACAACAGCAGCAGTGTCATTAAAAGCAACAGTATAACAAACAATACTAAAGAAACCAGACTTACCTTTCTGACATCCACTCCCATGTTCTCCAACAGTTCCTCAGCTGATTTGTAGCCTGCGAAATTTTGGTCGTTGTCCTCTGCCCCGGGCACAGTGATGAGCTTTCTCTGAGGAGCAGGCTTCTCGCAAAGACTGATGAAGTCAGTGATGGTCACCAGTCCTTTCTTACTCTGCAGTACTCCCCACATCTGCTTGGCCGTGGCTGAAACCTGTTTTGGTCCTCGTGGTTTGGTGCCTGATGGAGGTGCAGACAGCTGTCCGGTTCGCTCACTTTCTATCATGTCGTCTTCAATATCGATTAACTTGTCTCCTTGGGACTTGGACTGCCTCATGCCATTGCCACTCTGCTTGTTGTTCTGTTCGAAGGCGTAGCTGTTGGGACGAGCTCTTCTGTCGTCAGGACTTAATGGGGAAGCAGGGGCTGGTTTAAGGGGGTAATGGGACGTATGTGGGACTGGTTCATCCATTATGTTAGGACCGACTTGATTGGAGCGGCCGGATCCGTTTAAAACACTGTCGATATCGTCAACGTTGCTGATCATTCCGGACTTCTGACCTTTGTACGGTTTTTTCTGTTGCTTTGGTTGCTGCTCCGGTTTTCCGGTCCATTCGCTGCCAGGGCTAGGCACAATATCAGGTAGCGATTTTTGGGAGACGGACTGTGCTGCTCTTCCTCCTTCTTTGTCTTTGGCTACTCCAAGCTGACTCGGTCGCTGCCCGGCAGAGTTCTGCCCTCTGTCCTCTAAAACGTCCTCCCTGGAGTTATGCCGGCTGCTTCGGCCATGCTTGCTATTCCGTTTATTGGGAGATTCTTCCCGGTTAAACCCGAACTGAGATCCATTACTGTCGCTGATTTCGTTATCGTGCTGTTCCCGCCTAGAGCGTCGTCGGTCGTCTAGCACGTTGTCCCGGGAGTTGTCCCTGTTCAATCGCTTGTGGTCTTCTGACGCTTGTCTCTGCATCCCAATGTGACGGTGTCGGTTCGGAGAATCGTCTCTCGAAGCTGGCTCTGTTGAATTGGTGGGCTTTTTAGTTTTCTGACCTCCGTTATGATCATACCGGCGCCGCCTCATTTCACTTGGTGAATGTTCCTTTTCGAAAACATCCGATTCATCGTAATAATGTTCTGCTTTGTTAAGTTCGGATTTCCTGAAATCTTTATTAGGCAGTCTCGGATCTCTGTCGTCTTCGTCGTCAAGGATACTGTCGTTCGAACCCCGAGACTGATGACGAGAATGTCGATGGCGAGAGCGTCTTGAAGGCGAGTTGTCGCATGAATGAGGCGGCGATTCTTCAAGCTGACTGTATTGTCTAGCGACAACTCTCGGCTCCTCGTAGATTTCAGTTCTGCTGTCAGCTCCTGGGTGTCGTTTGACGTGACGGCTCTCAGGAGACTTTGGCTCTGGTGGAGGCAGGTGTTGCTTCCATTGGTGGACTTTCTCAATGCTCTCTCTGAGGGACAGAGTCTCAGGAGTAAGCAGGGGTTTTTCACCACTGTCATCCTCACATTCGTCGAGAATTTCTTTGCTCGAATGCCTCTTCCTCCTTGGACGATCGTTTAACATATCTTCTCGAGAGCTAGACCTCGAAGGTTTATTTGATCTTCTAGAAGATCGTTTCTCATCGGCTGCACTTCCGAGATCTGCTTCTCTGTCGCGCAAAGTGCTGGGTGTGCTGGTTCTAGGCCCTTCATGTCGGCGACGTCCATGGCGACTGTCTCTATCGTCAGTGTCATTCTCATCATCGATCATGTCCTCGTCACGTCTTGATGATCCTCCTCTTGTGGGTTCTCCATAAACAGACTGCCGCCATGATCGTTCATTTGGAGGAGTACTGACGCCTTCTTCAGGATAATTCCTCCTAGGCTCGTCCTTTAGAGTAGATCGTGAGCTGTTTCTTGACATGGGCGAAGATGGCATCTTGTTGAGTCCTGGCGCAGGTGGCCCGTTGTATCCTGGCGCGGGTGGCCCGTTGTATCCTGGCGCGGGTGGCCCGTTGTATCCAGGAGCTGGTGGTCCGCTTGCCTTCCCATAGCCATGACCATGAGAAGGAGGAGCAGGCCCACCAAGCACTTTGTCTCTATATTTGTAATACGTCTCGCCTGGTTGGCTGCCGACTCCTCCTCCACCACCTCCTCCTCCGCCTCCTCCACCACCTGCTGCACCAGGTGCGAAATTCGAACTTGAATTACTCCTCTGTCGTCGTGATTGCGGCTGATCCAAATTGGTCTGTATTGCGCAGTCAACAATACTATGTTCAATAACTCCTTTTTTGCCTACTCTGTCACTCCGTATCGGAGCTTTAACCGGAACTTTTATTCTCCTGGTTCTCGAAATACTAGCTTTGTCCTTGACCTTCGGCTCTTTAGTATCCCCTTCTGGTATAGGCGACGTCCCTCTGCAGATAAGATAGCGCACTGACTGGTCTCTTTTCTCGGCTTCTGGAGCGCTGTCGTCGGATTCAGAACTAACCGATACTCCGCGCCTACCCCGTTTGCTGCTGCTTCTGGCTTCCTGCCTGGGCAAAGGTACACTTGTACTCCTACCTGCACCCGTGTTTCCACTCTCGCTTTCTGCCGAAGACTTGTGCGTGTTACCTGGCGCTTCGTAACCTCGGGAGGATTGGCGCTCGTAAGAACGCGATGGGGGTTTGGGAACCGGGGAGGCGTCGGAACCGCCGCTTTTGTAAGATGAGTAGGTGGAATAGGGTCCTGAGGCACTGCTGCTGTAGTCATATCGCGATGAACGAGTGCTAACTGGTGATCCCTCGCGACTTCCCTGTCCGTATCGGCTGTTAGAACTTCTGGAGCTTCCCCGATCCCACGAACCATAAGGACTGCCACCCCCATAGTCAGACATGTAACCACTCCTAGTGGAATATCGGTCTAAGCTGGGGTATCTATCCACTGATTGATACCTATCAGCTCCGTAGCCGGTCGTCGAATGCTTGGGGTCACTGGCGCCGAATTTTTTGACTGCGTCACTGACGCTGGCCGAGCGGTATTTTGGAGGTTCATAGCTGGTCGTTCTTGTGTAGGAGGGTCTGGAGGTAGAAGGCGTGTATGCTCGGGAGGAGGCTCCGTACGAAGTTGAAGGAGTGTAATTCTTTCCCGTCCCCATGTCGTAGAGCTGTGGACAAGAGAAACATCTGGTTAATGGCCTGGACAAAGGCAATGAGAATATGTGAACATCTGTCTACCCATTTACCTACCAACCGACATTGCTGTATGTAAGTATTTAACCGTCCGTTCCACTGTCTGTCTGCTTACACACAGAAGAGTGAGTGAAAGAGACAGACAGACGGAAAGACAGACAGACAGACAGACAGACAGACAGACAGACAGACAGACAGACAGACAGACAGACAGACAGACAGACAGACAGACAGACAGACAGACAGACAGACAGACAGACAGACAGACAGACAGACGGACGGACGGACGGACGGACGGACGGACGGACGGACGGACGGACGGACGGACGGACGGACGGACGGACGGACGGACGGACGGACGGACGGACGGACGGACGGACGGACGGACGGACGGACGGACGGACGGACGGACGGACGGACGGACGGACGGACGGACGGACGGACGGACGGACGGGCGGGCGGGCGGGCGGGCGGGCGGGCGGGCGGGCGGGCGGGCGGGCGGGCGGGCGGACGGACGGACGGACGCACGGACGGACGGACGGACGGACGGACAGACAGACAGACAGACAGACAGACAGACAGACAGACAGACAGACAGACAGACAGACAGACAGACAGACAGACAGACAGACAGACAGACAGACAGACAGACAGACAGACAGACAGACAGACAGACAGACAGACAGACAGAACAGACAGACAGACAGACAGACAGACAGACAGACAGACAGACAGACAGACAGACAGACAGACAGACAGACAGACAGACAGACAGACAGACAGACAGACAGACAGACAGACAGACAGACAGACAGACAGACAGACAGACAGACAGACAGACAGATAGATAGATAGATAGATAGATAGATAGATAGATAGATAGATAGATAGATTAGATAGATAGATAGATAGATAGATAGATAGATAGATAGATAGATAGATAGATAGATAGATAGATAGATAGATAGATAGATAGATAGATAGATAGATAGATAGATAGATAGATAGATAGATAGATAGATGATAGATAGATAGATAGATAGATAGATAGATAGATAGATAGATAGATAGATAGATAGATAGATAGATAGATAGATAGATAGATAGATAGATAGATAGATAGATAGATAGATAGATAGATAGATAGATAGATAGATAGATAGATAGATAGATAGATAGATAGATAGATAGATAGATAGATAGATAGATAGATAGATAGATAGATAGATAGATAGATAGATAGATAGATAGATAGATAGACGTAGATAAACACGAAAAATGATAACTGCAAATAACTATCTCTTGTTTGCACACACATCTCAACATTCATGAAATTATAATTATTTCTCAGAGGCTAAAGCGTATTCATTTTAGTTTTGACCGACATATGACCCCAGTTCAATTTTTGTTTTAACCATCATTTAAAAAAAAAAGGGGGTATATGTTGTTTACTTTCAGTTTTGTATCCCTTTCAGAACGTTGCATAACCAACCCAAACATTTTTTTTTTTTGCTGTTTGGTTTTACTAAGCAGTTCTATTTTCAGTAGTTTGCCATGGCTTACTCAATGGTTGGAATCAACGCAAGGCGGTCTGCTGTTAAATAATTTGCAGTTATACATGAACGGCGTACACGGAATCTCATTCGCAATACCAAAGCAACATATTTACTAGGGGAAGAGAAAAGGAAAATTTGAAGATAAGGAAACGATACGGATACTTGGGTACCCTGATAACATCAGATGGAAGATGCATTTAAGAAGTTAAATGTAGAATAGCTTAAAAAAAGGCAGCATTTTACAGAATAAAGAATATTTCATGCAGTTGTTTCTTTGTCAATTGAAACACACAAAATTATTTAAAGCTATGTAAATCCTATGTTGATATACCGAAGCATATCATGGAAAGCTGGTACATTAGTTAAAACGTATTTGGGAGCTGCGGAGATATGGTTTTGTAGACGAATGATGAGTATACCCTGGCCAGATAAAAGGAGTAACGAAAATATCTTGAAAGAAAGTGACTCACATAGAGAACTCATTGCCCACATCAGAAAGAGACAATCTACATTCTTAGGTCATGTGATGAGAAGGAGATAACTGGACTACACCGAGACAGTAAGAAAGCTGAAGGGGAGGAGAGGCAGAGGGAGACCGAGAGAACAGATGCTGGACAGTTTGAAATCATGGAAGATCATCTGTGTCAGAGTTTATTCAAAGTACGCGAAACAGAAGGTTGTGGAGAGACATGACTACCAACGCCACGCGGCATGGACTCTTAAGAAGAGGAAAACGATATCAGCTGCCTTTAACAAATACAAACACGTCAATGCTCGGCAACAAGAAGGTGCAGTAAAGTAAAACTCGTTAGGTTGAACAAATGGTATAAGTCAGTGTTTCTCAAACTGTTCTTAGTAGCGGCGCCTTTGTTTCTCAATTAAAATTTGTCCACGGCGCCTTAATCTAAGATAACGTATGACTATTCGTATGTAAGAAATAAAAATGCCAAACGTGGACACCCTCATCATCCAATGAACGTAAAATTGTGACAACAGAGATGAAATGCCTTAGAAGAGCCGCAGGAGTTTCAAGGAAAGACAGAACGAAATCATGAAATCAGACGAATGCTAGGAATAAAGCCAGTCTCACAGGTCATGAAGGAACAACAAATTAAATGTTTTGGACACCTAACAAGAATACCCTGGTACTATCTGCCACAGCGAGCCACACTAAAACGTTACAACGGGTATAGAGCGAGTAGAAGACCTCGGAAAATATAGAGTGATGGCATTAAGAACAGCCTTACAGAAATGAACATCAGTCCTAATAGTGCTCTTGACAGAGCTCATCAACGAACATTACATCTCCCCCCAACACTTCGATGAGGTGAAAGAAGAAAAAGAAGAAGAAGAAGAAGAAGAAGAAGAAGAAGAAAAAGAAGAAGAAGAAGAAGAAGAAGAAGAAGAAGAAGAAGAAGAAGAAGAAGAAGAAGAAGAAGAAGAAGAAGAAGAAGAAGAAGAAGAAGAAGAAGAAGAAGAAGAAGAAGAAATAAAAAAACAATAACCAAAAAAAAAAAAAAAAATCGTGTATCTTTGAATATTTCGCGGCGCCTCTGTGAAGAGGTCGCGGCTCCCCGGGACGCCGCGGTGCACATTTTGGGAATCACTGGTAGAAGTTATGTTCTCTGCTGATCTGTTGCGCTGAAGGTGTTTAGAACTCAAACAGATTCCTTGTGTGTTTGTTGGACCGGGAGGATGTAGGTTAGTGGGAGATGTGCATAGGTACACGGTAACTGAGCAGGGAACACGGCTTATCATATTGCGTTTCATCTCTATCTCTTCTCTCTCTGTCTGTCTGTCTCTCTGTCTGTCTGTCTCTCTTTCTCTCCATCTCTCTTTCTAACTTCCTTTTTCTTTGCAACGTTCTGTTGGTATCCCTCTCTCTCTAACTTTCGCTTTTCATCTATGATGCTCTGCTGGTCTCTCTCTCTCTCTCTCTCTCTCTCTCTCTCTCTCTCTCTCTCTCTAACTTTCGCTTCTTTTCTCTTTCTGCTGGTATCTCTCTCTCTAACTTTCGCTCTTTCTCTCTGACGTTCTGTTGGTATATATCTCTCTAACTTTCGCTCTTTCTCTCCGACTTTCTGCTGGTATATCTCTCTCTAA